AAAAATTAGAATTATTATTTATTATACAATCTAAAATAATAAAAAAAGTAATTTTTTGAGTTTGATTAATGATAATTTAACTGCAGTCAAATAATAATAATGACAATTTAATTATTATCTTAAATGTAAACTTGCATTAAGGATGCTATGGATTTTATTAAAAAACCTTAATACATATATAATAAATTTAATTATAACATTTTATTAATATAAGACTGAAAATTAAGCTTTTACTTAATTTAGATTGAAAGTCTAATAAATAGACTACACGGAATTATTTCCAAGAATTGCCAAAAGAAACAATTATAATGGTACAACAATGGGTGTCTGGAATTTACCACAAAAAAAGAAAAAAGAAAAAAGAAAAAACGCAATGAGTGTGTGTACTCGAAATCAAATTTCAAATTCTTTAAATTCATACAAGTGATATAGAGCTTGTTAAGGTCATAGTTGAGCACTTCAATAGGGTGTCCTTTTCTTTTTGATCGGCTTTCATAAGTTGTTTGAAATGTCTACATCTTTTAACTATCCTTAGGTCGGATTTCAAATCACATTTCAAATTGATTGAATGGTAATGAGTGATACAAATTGATTGGATGGTAATGAGTGATACAAATTGATTGGATGGTAATGAGTGATACAAATTGTACAACTTTGCAAACTTAGTCAAATTTATCTGTCTAAATCTACCAGCTTCCCTTCCCAGGTCCCATCCAAGGCAGCGACAGTTGAGTGTTTTTCTTTTTAGAATAATAACCTAGAATGTTGAAAGAAATAATGGTGTAGCTAGCTATAGGTGCGGAATTGAAATCAAATTCCAAATTTCTTTAGTTTATACAACTAATGCAAACCTTGATACGCTCGTTTCAGTATATACTGCAAGTTGTTGAGAACTTTAAGTGGGGTAATTGACATGTCTACATCTGTTAATTTTCTTCTTCCACCAAGCAACCACTCAAAAAAGCAACCTTCATAATTGAAACAGATTGTCTTATTGCTATTGGGTGTCATTATTGGCAATTTGTTACTTGTCTTGTGACTAGTCAGCACCACGTTAAACGACATTTCATTGACTAGTAATTTTCTCTTTTCGTGTATCAACATCTCACAAACTTGTCACAAGGGCTTAACTTGCCCCTCCTTTTTTTACGATGAAAAATATCATTTTGCTTACTGATCAGCTTTCTTTTGGTTTTTTTCCTAATTTACATGTATTATGTTGTTTAAGTCTATTGAGATTGTCTCTATATTTAAAAAAAAAATTCATACCCTTTAGGTTTTTTTGTTAAGTTTATATATTTACAGAGTCAAATTTATGAGAAAGTATTCACCAAAAAAAAATTTTTATGAGAAAGT